GACACGGTGGTTCCTCGCACTCCAGGACTTCTGCTTCCAGGTACAACATCGGGCCGGGGCCGATCACGGGAATGCGGACGGTCTCTCCCGGGGCTGGTCCGGTTGGGCAGGTCTGGCAGGTAACCAGAAATTCCCCCCCCGTAATACCCTCACAACGAGTTGTGTGTTTCCCCACAGGACCAGGGCGACACCTGGGGGGGGGGATGTGGCGAGTATCCCGAGTCCAGATTAGCCGCTGCCACGCTGGAAACGCCGCTGCCACACTGATCACCGACGCACAACACCTGTGCGCGATGAGTGGCGCACCTGGAGCTCGTTCCCGCTGGCCTTAAAAGCCAGGAGAAGAGACACCAGCTGGAGAGCACCCCAGAGCTCCAGGCGGCATTAACGATTGTTCTCCTTATTTCACAGACTCTGAAGGCACCCAGGGAGAGGGATCTGCTCCACGGCACTTCACCCCACGAGCACCATTCTGAGACGGGCACCGAGCACCAGTCATCAAGGGCACGTGTGATCAGTGTGTGGGCAAATAAATCACCCTCCGGGGCTCTTTCGAACAGTACCGAGTCTGTGTTCTCATTCACCCCGCGACAGTATATATATGTGTATATGCGTGTACTGTGTTAGGCTAACCGAGACTTGTCATTTGCACTTATATATTGTTGCTCTTTTGTTAGTTTTGACTGCTTTTGTTGTCCTCATTTCGTTTCTGTTTTTGTTCCAGAGAAGTCTTTCTTATTGAGAGAAGCGAGGATGAATGCGTTCCTCCAACAGAAGATAGCAAGGGTCCGTAGCTCCAGGACGCTGGATACACAAGTACTCTGGTTCTTTCGCCCCGAGGCTGCGCCGGCCAAGCCAACATCAAAGTTCGTCTTCAAACTTTAGTTTCTAGTTATTATAATTATTCTTCTGAGCCATTTTTCTAAACCTATCTCCTCCTAGGGCTTTAATGCCACAAGCCCCAAACTCGGCAGAGACCTGGGCCCTGATTGCGTGAAGTGTGCTATATCTTTTCAGACTGATCAGACTTACAGTTTATTTATAAATAATTTTTAAATATGAAAAATTTCCCATAGACTTACATTGTCTGAGAAAAATTGAATCAGAATCAGAATGAAATCCTCTAGAGGAGCAATACCCGTCCTCTTGAGGGTGGAGTCTTCCAACTCATCTCAGTTTCACTTTAAAATCGTTTCAAAATACAAATAAATACAAAAATTTCATTCACACTGACAAGCTAAACCAACATATCTGATTATTACCGGTTATGTGGCTCATTAATAACGACTGTTTGGCCAGAGAACCGTTTGAAAGGCGAGAGAACTGTCACCACACCAATCAGCGAGTGCAGTCCGTGCTTGATCACAAGAACATAATTTGGACTTGATTAAGAGCCTTTAAAAATAAAATATTCCAGCGGTTGCATACATTCCACCCATTAGAACACAACAAGAGCTAATTTCAGGTGTTTGTGAGCTGTTTTAGTGTGAAACTGAAAGCATTGCATCCGGTATCTGAGCTCGCAAGACTGCAGGGTCCTCATTAAACTTCTATTGTTGCACGTCTTGAAGCCTTGTGAATGTAAACACTCCAGCGAATTTATAGCATATAATTATAAGAACATATTGAGAGCTAAGTTGAGTGCATTTGAGGTTTATTTATGTTGCCTCGCGTCGCGCCATCTTCTGAACACTGAACAGAAAAAAAGGCTACATACAGAAACTGCATCGTTTACATGCCTTTTAAAGCTTCTGCATTAAAAAAACTCCAGCGAATCAACACAATAAAATTAGAAGAATATATTATTGAGGTAAAATTAGTGCTTGTGTGATCTTTTTTGGACTAAATGCAGAGCAAACCCGTCGCAGCTCTGACGCTCGCGCTCATCCTCGCTTCTCTCAATAAGAAAGACTTCTTTGGGACAAAAACAGAAAAGATTATTTCAAAATACATGATAGCTTGGCGAATATAATCGAAAACATTTGTTTATGTCTCACGTGAATATAAACTGTTGAGAAATAAATCGGAGGAGGATGGATGTGAACATTAAAGTGACCGGGCGCTGCTTTCTATCTTCAAAGTTAATCCATAGAAAAACAGAAAATAATTTGTTTGTCTTGGCTACTTTTATTTATTTATTTATTTATTGCTCTAACAAGAATCAATATTTAATGAGAACTGTGCAATGCTATTTTTGGATTCTTCCATTTCTGCATCGAAACATCTACAAAACCTGCTCTGTTATACTGTTGTTTGCAAATTGTTTATCGCGCAATTTAACTGATATCTACATTTTTTTTCATAATAAACTTGTTGGTTAGAATAGACAATTACAGCGGTCTATAATAAAAATTACCAGGGTTTGTACAAGCTGCTTAAAGAGCTTGAAGTAGCCTACTTGTCCTTTACTTTTTGAAATGTAAATCCTAAAAATAAAAAATACAAAATCTTGGAAACAGCCATATTTATGAAAAGGTGCTTGACCCATTGAAAAACAATATGAATGAAATTAGTCTTCAATTTTTAGTAATGACAAATTTCGTTGTCATAAAATCCTTCATTGCAATAAAAAAAATAACAATTGTCTATACAAAATATTATGAAAAAAATTACTCGTACTTTTTCCATCATTATATTGTTTATATATTATAATTGTACAAAATAAACATTTAAAAAGTCACAAAACAATCAATCATCACTGCTTCAAAATGTAAGTCGAAAATTAAACTCTTAATGTATGAAATAAGATACAGAATCAGTAAATTCGAGTTTTATGTGGGTATATTATCAGTAAAGTAAACATTAAACATTTGTAATCATTCAAGAAATATTGGCCATTTCATCTTAATGTTGTTCAGAGATGAAGGCCATAATGCTAATACTGTCCACACAAGGGAGCCCCAGGATAGCAAATCCTTCAAGATCTGTTCAAAGACTAAATAAAACAATGCATATAAATTCATTATATTTTCATAACCTTTAATAAAGTCCAATATAGTAAGTATGCAAAACTGTAATCTCCTAAATACTGATAGACCATTATTTTTTATCTGAATTTGAATGGTATTGACAATATATTTTCTCAAGTTATCACACATAACTGAATGTACATGCAAGGGACACTTTATTACTTATCTATTTTCGTATTGAGCATATAATAGCACTCACATAAGGACTCATAATTTACTTGAGAAGACACACGTCCATTGTGTAACTGCATCATCTACACAAACCATTGTACTTGTACCTCTAACGATCGCCTTGAGTTAAACCGCATTGTTTCAGTTACCTTCTGTGTCGTTGCCCACAACGCATCGGTGACAGGACTTTGAAATAACGAAAGGGAAAAAAATTAAAGGCGTGACTTATTTTGCATCCAGCTAGCCAACTCTTTTAAAGCCGTTGTCGTAGCCTAGCCTTTTATTAGAATAGAAGATAGCAAGGGTCCATAGAAATATACTGTTGTACGTATTTTTGCAGCGGGCAGCTCGAGGATGCTGGATACACAAGTACTCTGGTTCTTTTGCCCCAAGGCTGCGCTGGCACAGCCGCCAAGCCAACATCAAAGTTCGTCTTCGAACTTTAGTTTATATTTATTATTCTTTTTCTGAGACTAAATTTTCTGACTGATACTCCTGCTAGAGCTTTAAATCTACAGACTCCAAACTCAACCCAGCTCTTCATACTGATCTGACCGAGTGTGCTATATTTTTTCTAACTGATCGGACTTACGGTTTTCATAAAAATTAAGATTAAAAATCATAAAAATCCAATAGACTTGAATTGAAAAGTCTCTGCTTATATGAACATTCCGTCAAACTCCAACTGTCAAAATTCAAATCTAAACACACTGAAGCCCATTAGACTCAATCAGACTTCAATTCTATGTACTATTTCTAACCCATTCAAACTCATCTATCTATCATCTGACTATTTCTTTCTTTCTTTCTATCATCTGACTATTTCTATCTATCTATCTATCTATCTATCTATCTCAGACTGTATTGCCTTCAAAACATTCAAACTTTAAGCTTTTAAAACTACTTTAAACTTCAAACTATTTCAGACTGAAAACCATCAAACTTAAAACTTTTTATAAACTTCTTAAACTTTTCAATCTTTTTTTAACTTTCTGGTCCGGCTTTCTCAAGCCAACTTAAAGTTTGTCGTGACAAACTTTTTTATCTAGTTCTTTTTTCTGAGACTAAAATTTCTGACTGCTACTCCTCCTAGAGCTTTAACTCTACAGACTCCAAACTCAGCCCAGCTCTTCATACTGGTCTGACCGAGTGTGCTATATCTTTTCTAACTGATCGGATTTACGGTTTTCATAAAAATTAAGATTAAAAATCATAAAAATCCCATAGACTTACATTGACGGAATGTTCAGATGAGCCAAGACTTCTCAAACTGCAGCTGTCAACATTCTAATGTAAACACACTGAAGCCCATTAGACTCAATCA